CTCTGGGGGTACCTGGCACGCACGAAGGCACCCGCGGGTACCAGCGCCCGTTGATGGTGCAGCGCGCAGTGGCGGTGCCGCCCAGGGGCACAAAGCCGGGCTCACACCGCAGCGTGGCTGAACTGCCGTAGGTGAAATTCTCCGCTGAGCTCAGCTGCCCGTTGGCGATGACCGGGACGAAGCACTGAGACCCTGCGGATCCCAAAAAAAATGGGGATTTTGGGGTGTTTTTACACAATCCCGCCGCTGCGGCCGAGCGTCACTGCAGCGTGAGTGATGAATGCAGGGTTGGGGCGGAGGTTTTTGGGGTTAATAAACATCCCGGGAGCCACCAAAAGGACCCTAAATGTGTAGGATTTCCTTTCCACACAATCCAACACCTTTTCTGCCGTTCTCTTGGGGCTCAAGCAGGGCGCAGAGAACACAGAGAACTCACCTGCAGGCTCAGATGGGTGAGTGTAGGGTGAGTGYRGGGTGAGTGCGGGGTGAGTGAGTGCAGGGAGGTGCTAGGACGGGCTCTGCACCCTGAAGAAGTTTCTGAAAAGGTTTGTCCTCCACTGAACCCCCCAAAAACCAACTTGAGGCAGAAACGGCCGCTCATTCCCCTTCGCAGGGACATTGATTACTCAGCAGCCTCGCACTTCTCCTGCCCTGGGCTCAGCCTGGGCTCAGCCTGGGCTAAGCCTGACCGTGCCCCAGCTGCCTTGGGCAGGTCTGTGGGGTGCCCTGGGGCTGAGGCACCAACCTGGGCATCGAGTCAGTCCCAGAACCACGGAAGGGACATTAAATTTGGAATGGAAGAGACATTAAAACCCATCCCATCCCATCCCCCCAGTGCCATGGCAGGGACACCTCCCACTGTCCCAGGGTCTCCAAACACTGTCCAGCCTGGCCTTGGGCACTGCCAGGGATCCAGGGACACTCTGTGCCAGGCACTCCCCACCCTCCCAGGGAAGGATTTCCCCTTAACACCGCATCTAAACCTTGCCCCATCACTCCATTCCCGGTGAAAAGCCCCTCTCCAACCCCTCCTGGAGCCCCTTCAGCCATTGCCAGGCTCTGTAAGCTCTTCCCAAAGCCCTGGTGAAGAACAGAACGCGAGGATGGAGGGGAGGACACTCACCCAGAGTCGCTGTGGGCTGCAGGACCAGCACCAGCAGCACCAGGAGCTGCCCCAGCCCGAGGAGCCCGGGCATGGTGAGGGCTGGGAGCAGCCTGGGAAGGAGAGATCCTGTCCCCAAGAGGCTGAAGGGAAGGGGAAGCAGCAGTGGGAAGTTGGGGACAGGCAGGGTGACACCACCCCCAGCCCTGTGGGCAGCGCTGACCGTCCTGACCCTCCTGACCGTCCTGACCCTGACCCCGACTGTCCTGACTGTCCTGACCCCAATCTCTGTGCAGGGATGGGACAGGAGGGGAGCCTGCTCAGCCTCTGCCCTGCTGGGACAGGGGGAATAAGGGGATTTTACAGCTAAAATCACTCTGCAGCAGCCTGGCCTCGGGTCTGGACTCATTTACCCCTCAGGAGTGTGGTTGGGGGTCAAACTTGAGTGAAAACACCCCCTACACCCCCCTAAACTCAGGGGACAGCACCCAATCAAGCAACATTTACAATTTATACTTTATGTATTATATAGACTTCATATATGTGATATTAATACTTAWAATACTTACTTAGTACCATTGATAAAATACTTATATTACTTACTTAATACCATTGCTAGAACAGATCATTAAAACCGAGCCAGAGCTGTCATTACATTTGCAGCTTTATTGCAATCTCGTGGTGAAGGAGCCCCGATCCCTTCACTGATCCCTTCTCCTTCACTGCCTATCACAGGAAAATAGAATAAAAATCAGCCATTTCTTTGTGTRCACTTTGATTTGTTCACAGGGATGTGGCAATGCCGTGGATCCATCCCTCCTGCTCAGGAAGGGAGCCTGGAGTTTTTGCTTTGCTGGAAGAGCGGCTTTGAGGTTTTCGTGGTCACAAGGAAAAAAATCAGGAGTGAAGGGGTGGCTCACACTGATGGGTGAACTGGGTGAACTGGGACAGACTGGAGAGGAGCAGCAGCAGCGGGGTGAGCAGCTCCCATCACCTCATGGCCCACTCGTGCCACAAAATTTCACTTTTACACTCAATCCCTTCCTAACCGTGCGCTGTCAGCGGAACAGATTTAAATGTGAAGCTTTAAAAAGCACAGAGAGCTCTACAAACTTAACTTGGTGAGCCCTAAAAAATGACTCAGAAGTCAATTCCACTCCTCCTGTGACCAATTCTGTGGCCAACTGATAAATTCTGTCCTGACTATTTCAGCATTAGCAGGAATTACAGAGTCATAAAGAAGCCACCACAGGGTGGTTTTTACAACCCCAGTGTCACCAATCAGCTGTAGGAGGTGATTTTCAGCTCCTTCTCAAGCTTCTGGATCTCCAGGTAGAGTTTCTGTATTTCCAGCAGGGTTTTCAGYTCGGATGGAGGAATTCCACACTGGAAAGCCGCTTTGTTCCGCAGGATCCTCTCGCACGTGAGTTTTTTCTTTTAAAGAACCACAGCAGAGACGGGGTGACAAAGCTGAAAATGGGGCAAAAAGCAGGGAAAAGGGGGTGGATRTGRCACTTACACAGGTGAGTGGAGGTGYCCAGGTGCCATCAGCWGAGCAGGTGCTGTAGGAAGGAGATGCCAAAGGTCCGGAATTCCTACACTGGAAGCGCACGGTGTCGTTCACCCGGTACCACGGCTGCTTGAAATCCCCCACCAAATCCTCCTGCCGCGGGGGTTTGGGGCACTGAACTGCAGGGAAAAAAATCAGAGAATGGGAAGGGATGGAGGGGAAAACACGCTGTAGGGG